GGCATACTCAGCATGTAACCTCAGTAGTGAACTTCCCTTCACCTTTTCTCTATGGTCTGCCATCTTCTTTATAAACTCCTCCGGGATCTGAGGGTCAGGTCCACCTCATTCCCTTTATTCCTAGGCGTGTCTGCTCTGATGTATATCTCCTACAACGAATACCGTACTCATACATTACACACAACCGCTCATCCCCGGATCACACACCGACATACCCACAATCCTCTGCAACATTATGTAAATAAGAGGGGCGGGGACTTTGCCACCTACCACTCAGAAAATGGGGGCGTGGCTGCAGAGCATGGGGGAGGGGCGGTAAAGCTTTGGGGTGGCATCCCTATGTCCTCCCATTGAACTTTTTTAGGGGGTGTGGCTTTCAGCTCCATAAATGTGGGGGGCGTGGTACCTATCTAAATGAGGGAGGGGAAAGGACCGAAACTAGGTGGAGGAGTAAGGTGTAGAACTCTTCGGGGGGTGGAGAAGAGGCAGGGTCAGAATCCTCATCCGCCGTGATGGAAGGGGCGGGTCTCCACCTAGGGGGAGGAGAACAGGAGGCGGATTCATAGAGGAGGCGGAGCTCTGTGGGTTGAGAACACCTGAAGTGACAGGCTGCCCTCCTTTCTACTTCCGGGTCACCTCTGTTTCCATCAAGGCGGGCGCTCAGGCAGCTGTTTGCAGCGGCAGAGGTGAGACTCACACCGGCGTCTGAATAGAAGTAATGTTGAAAGAGGTGTAGGAAGATGGCCGCTCGCAGTTTTCCGACATCTGTGAGGAAATAAATGTTGAAAGAGGTGTAGCAAGATGGCAGCCAGCAGGCGTTCATCGTCTGAGAGGAAGTATTGTTGGAAGAGGCGTAGGAAGATGGCCGCTCGCAGTTTTCCAACCACTGTGAGGAAGTAGTGTTGTAAGAGGTGCACCAAGATGGCGGCCAGCAGGTGTTTGACATCTGAGAGGAAGTAGTGTTGGAGGAGGTGTAGCAAAATGGCGGTAAGATCTGTCCCCCTTGACGCAACTGTGCATGTGCCAGTTTCAGGCATTAGCAACCGATCGGCGATCTCGTGCTGTCACACTGTTAACCCCTTTTATGCTGGATGCAACGTATGGGAAACGCTGAATCCCATCCCTCGGATCACTGGAGCTGACGATCCTCCCGCAAGATGTATCCTCGCTCTGTCACACTGTTAACCCCTAGTATGCTGGATTCAACTGACACGAACTGCAAGATGTCTCCAAGCTGTGGGGGGTTGTGACATGGCGAGTACAGTCACATGTGGGGGGATCAGTGACATGGGGGGGCCATAATGTGTTGGTGGTGCAGTTACATGTGGGGGCCAGTCACATGGGGGTGGGGATTTGCGTTAAGGGGGGCAGATTTTCACGGGGGACTGAGCTTGCTGCTGGGGGGGGGGTTGCTTGCCTCAATGGGGGGCAGATTTTCACGGGGGACTGAGCTTTCTGATAGGGGGGGGGGTTGTGTCAAGGGGGGCAGATCTTCCGGGGGACTGAGCTTGCTGGGGGGTAATGACAAGGGGGGCAGGTCTTCACGGCAGACTGATCTTGCTGTGGGGTAATGACAAGGGGGGCAGATCTTCACAGGGGACTGATCTTGCTGCTCCGGTGTGGGGAAGTGACATGGGGAGGACAGTGACATTGGGGGGGGGGGGGCATGACATGGGGGAGGACAGTGACATGGAGGGGGGGTATGACATGGGGAGGACAGTGACATGGGGGGCATGACATGGGGAGGGCAGTGACATGTGGGGGGGGCAGTGATATTGGAGGGTGGCCATGACATGTGGGGACAGTGACATGTGGAGGAAGGTAACATGTGGGGGGGGTGCAGTGACATGGGTAGGACAGTGACATGAGGGGGGGCCCTTACTTAATATACAATATTTACCACAATATATAACCCTTTGCACGCTACGCCATTCACATGGGTACACAGATATCAGTGCAGTTGCAGTTCTGTCACTTGATATTGTTACTTTGGTAGGGGTGCTGTTTATGGCAGAAGGGGTGGAAGTCTGTCAATAATTGTTTGTGGTAGTTTTGTTGTGGATGTCTGTGGGTGGTAGGTGGTGTGACAGCAATTTAGGGGTCACAATTTGCACCCCGATATTTCAGTGGCTTCAATTTCACATTCTGCAGTATCATGAATTAAAGTGATACATTATTTCATGGCCTCTATGATTATCAGAGGATACATCGAATGGATACCTAATTCCATTAACCCCTCGCCTACCGGTAACTTCTACCCCCTTCCTGCCTAATTTTGTTTTGGTGCCCCATCATTAGTGTCAGTGTGTGAGGAATAGCGTCCCATCATTAGTGTCAGTGGGAGTAATAGTGCCCCATCATTGGTGTCAGTGGGAAGAATTGTGCCCCATCATTGGTGTCAGTGGGAGGAATAGTGCCCCACCATTGGTGTCACTTATACTAATGAGGGGGCATTATTCCTCCCACTGACACAAACGATGGGGCACTATTCCTCCCCCCACTGACACCAATGATGGTGCACTATTCCTCCCCCCCCCTCCCCCCACTGACAACAAATGATGGTACACTATTCCTCCCCCCACTGACACCAATGATGGGGCACTATTCCTCCCCCCACTGACACCAATGATGGGGCACTATTCCTTCCCCCACTGACACCAATGATGGTGCACCATTCCTTCCACTGAGACCAATGTTGGTACACTATTCCTCACACTAACACCAATGATGGGGCACTATTCCTCCAACTGACACCAATGATGGGGCACAATTCTTCCCACTGACACTAATGATGGGGCACTATTACTCCCACTGACACCAATGATGGGGCACTATTCCTCCCACTGACACTAATGATGGGACGCTATTCCTCACACACTGACACTAATGATGGGGCACCAAAACAAAAAATTAGGCAGGAAGGGGGTAGAAGTTACCGGTAGGCGAGGGGTTAATGGAATTAGGTATCCATTCGATGTATCCTCTGATAATCATAGAGGCCATGAAATAATGTATCACTTTAATTCATGATACTGCAGAATGTGAAATTGAAGCCACTGAAATATCGGGGTGCAAATTGTGACCCCTAAATTGCTGTCACACCACCTACCACCCACAGACATCCACAACAAAACTACCACAAACAATTATTGACAGACTTCCACCCCTTCTGCCATAAACAGCACCCCTACCAAAGTAACACCATCAAGTGACAGAACTGCAACTGCACTGATATCCGTGTACCCATGTGAATGGCGTAGCGTGCAAAGGGTTATATATTGTGGTAAATATTGTATATTAAGTAAGGGCCCCCCCTCATGTCACTGTCCTACCTACCCATGTCACTGCACCCCCCCACATGTTACCTTCCTCCACATGTCACTGTCCCCACATGTCATGGCCACCCTCCAATATCACTGCCCCCCCCCACATGTCACTGTCCTCCCCATGTCATGTCCCCCCCCCATGTCACTGTCCTCCCCATGCCATGCCCCCCCCCAATGTCACTGTCCTCCCCATGTCACTTCCCCACACCGGAGCAGCAAGATCAGTCCCCTGTGAAGATCTGCCCCCCTTGTCCATATCACCCAGCAAGATCAGGCCCCCGTAAAGATCTGCCCCCCTTGTCACCCCCCCCCCCCAAGATCAGTACCCCATGAAGATCCGCCCCCATTGTCCATACACCCCAGCAAGATCAGTCCCCTGTGAAGATCTGCCCCCCTTGTCATCCCCCCCCCCAAGATCAGTACCCCGTGAAGATCTGCCCCCTTTGTCCATACCACCCAGCAAGATCAATCCCCGTGAAGATCTGCCCCCCTTGTCATTCCCCCCCCAAGATCAGTCCCCCGTGAAGATCTGCCCCCCTTGTCCATACCACCCAGCAAGATCAGTCCCCCGTGAAGATCTGCCCCCCTTGTCATTCCCCCCCCAAGATCAGTACCCCGTAAAGATCTGCCCCCTTTGTCCATACACCCCAGCAAGATCAGTCCCCCCCCGTGAAGATCTGCCCCCCTTGTCCATACCACCCAGCAAGATCAGTCCCTCGTGAAGATCTGCCCCCCCTGTCCATACCACCCAGCAAGATCAGTCCCCTGTGAAGATCTGCCCCCCTTGTCACCCCCCCCAAGATCAGTCCCCCGTGAAGATCTGCCACCCTTGTCCATACCACCCAGCAAGATCAGTCCCCCGTGAAGATCTGCCCCCTTATCACCCCCCCCAAGCAAGATCAGTCCCCCGTGAAGATCTGCCCCTTGTCATTACCCCTCAGCAAGCTCAGTCCTCCTCCGTGAAGATCTGCCCCCCCTTGACGCAACTCCCCCCCCCACCGTAGCAGCAAGCTCAGTCCCCCATGAAGATCTGCCCCCTTGTCATTACCCCCCAGCAAGCTCTGCTCCCCCCTTGACACAAACCCCCCCCCCCCCCCCGTAGCAGCAAGCTCAGTCTCCCGTGAAGATCTGCCCCCCCTTGACACAAAGCTCCCCCCCCGTCAGAAAGCTCAGTCCCCCCCCCATGAAAATCTGCCCCCCATTAACGCAAGCAACCCCCCCCCCCCCCAGCAGCAAGCTCAGTCCCCCGTGAAAATCTGCCCCCCTTAATGCAAATCCCCACCCCATGTGACTGGCCCCCACATGTAACTGCACCACCAACACGTTATAGCCCCCCCCATGTCACTGATCCCCCCCACATGTGACTGTACTCGCCATGTCACAACCCCCACAGCTTGGAGACATCTTGCAGTTCGTGTCAGTTGAATCCAGCATACTAGGGGTTAACAGTGTGACAGAGCGAGGATACATCTTGCGGGAGGATCGTCAGCCCCAGTGATCCGAGGGATGGGATTCAGTGTTTCGTATACATTGCATCCAGCATAAAAGGGGTTAACAGTGTGACAGCATGAGATCGCTGATCGGCTGCTAATGCCTGAAACTGGCACATGCGCAGTTGCATCAAGGGGGCAGACCTGCCTGGGGGAGGAGAGGAAATAGTGTTGGAGGAGTAAGATGGCTGTGTCCTGTGGTGATTCCCAGATAGTGACTGGGAGCTCGGAGGGAGATGTGGAGGAGGGTAACAAAGACGACAAAGGTGAGCTGCTAGTAGAGGAGGTGGAGCCACGTGTGCCCTGTGATGGGAGCAGCTTTATGTATAATCAGTAGCAGTGTTTACATGGCTGTGTGTGTGACCATCCTATAGTGAGGGCTGTGCAGTACATAGGAGGTAGGACAGAACTTAGAGATCAGGAATGGTGAGTTATCCGTTATTACTGATTATTAGCTGTGGGGGCTTATCATGAGAATAGGGGGAGCGGACTCCGCTCAGGACCAGCCCCAGAGTCCAGTGTGTCTGTGTAGAGCGGCCTCAGCACTGCGATAGCCACATCCTGCTGACACGTTTCACCCCGCCCATTGCGCCTCTGTGACCAAGCCCCCGATGGACAGGGCAAAATGCGTTGTGGTGGGGGGGGGGGGGGTGCAGCTAGTGCGGTGCTGAGGCCGCTCTACACATACATGTTGGACTCTGAGGCTGGTCCTGAGCAGCCTCTGCTCCCTCTTATCTCATCCTAGGCACTGGAGCGGATGAACCTCCTCGGCGGTCTGATTATTTCAGATTTTTGGTGCTGAAAGCGGTACATTATTTTGCATGGAAATATGTAGTTTTTTTATTGTAGGCTGTAATTTTTAGGAATAACTCACTGAAATCTGTCCGAACAAGAGTCTATTAAACATCCCGGGTAGGATAAAATTTGAAACATGAAATCATAAATTATAATTTAATAATCAGAAAATAATAATATATTTAATTCAATAATATAATCAAACCAAAAACACTGAAATTTGAAATATAGCGCCAAAGTTCTCACATTGCTGAGCAAAGTCGCAAAATCGTTTTCAGTGTCTGATGATGAATTTCCCCACGAATCATTATCACTCAATTCTGCAAGTGGTTCTGATTTAGGCTACGTTCACACTAGCGTTGTGTGCAGGTGGCAGAGAGGCGTTTGGGATGCGTTTTTACCGCTTCCCAAATGCCTCTGCCAATTCTGCACATTACAGCACATGGTGCTGTTCTAACGGGAGCGTTTGCGTCGCGGCAAAACGGACGCCTCTGGTCGAGTCAGGAGGCTTTGTAGCCTCCTATTCTCATCTATGGTGCAGCTCCGCAAACGCCCGGCTGGCGTTTGCGGTGCGGTTGCGACGTGGTTGCGGGGAGTTTGCGGAGCGGTAACACCACTCAAACTGCATTATAGGCGTTTGTGGGGCGTTATTAACGCTCGTCAAACGCCTAGCAACCGCCACTTAAAAAACGCTCCGCAAACGCCGGACCAACGCTTGCCAAACGCTATAGGGGTGTTTGGCAAGTGTTGGTAAAACAGCCAAGTGTGAACGAGCCCTTACTATCGCTGTTCTCTAGCTGGTCTAAAACCGCTTTTGACCTAAAGGGACACTTTTTGGACGCCATGGATATTTCTCCGTTTCCAGGCAGAAAGAACAGACAAAATGCAGGCAGGGCGCAGGACAAAATGTATGTGAAATGGGTTGAAACAGCAATGTTTTACTATGTAAAATTTGTTTGGGAAAAAAAATGACTTTTTTAAATTTTCAAATTTGCCGCCGGCGGCAACCGTACGTCCCGACGTCACAGGGACCGGAACACAGAAGCCAGATTCCGGCATCGGCCGGAGGAGATGGCCGGGGACACGTTGCGGGAGCGCAGGACAAGGTAAGTGCTGCAGGGACTCCCTATGCAGCGCCGCATGGTAAGCCCGAGTGTAGCTCGGGGTTACCGCTTTTGGTACTGACATTTTACCCCGAGCTACACTCGGGAATACCGCCAGGGAGGTTAAGGGTGCTGCTCCCTTCATTCCCATGTCTGAGGGGTGATCTATATTGCATATCTGGCCTCAGAGTGGCGCTATCAAGCCGCACATATAGTGTGCTTGTCAATGTTATATGAAATAAAATCTTATTTTTCACATTTCAAAAGTCCGGATGTACATAATCTGTAAAGTCAGCTTCCTTTACCCAGTTCGGCTCCAGAGCAATTTGTTTTATTTTTCACATACATGTAAAAATCTTAAGTTCTGGCACTGCCAGAGCCCTACAAAATGACCTCCAGCAGGACACTGGTGTGAATGTCTCTGACCAAACAATCACAAACAGACTTCATGAGGGTGGCCTGAGGGCCCGACATCCTCTTGTGGGCCCTGTGTTCACTGCCTGGCACCATAGAGCTTGACTGGAATTGGACACCAGAATTGGCAGATCCGCCACTGGCGCCCTGTGCTTTTCACAGATGAGAGCATGTTCACCCTGAGCACATGTAACATCGTTCAGCACGACTGATTTGGTGGTGGGTCAGTGATGGTCTGGGGATGCATATCCATGGAGGGATGCACAGACCTCTACAGGCTAGACAATGGCACCCTGACTGCCATTAGGTATCGGGATGAAATCCTTGGACCCATTGTCAGACCCTACGCTGGTGCAGTGGGTCCTGGGTTCCTCCTGGTGCACGATAATGCCCGGCCTCATGTGGGGAGAGCATGCAGGCAGTTCCTGGATGATGAAGGAATTGATACCAATGAATGGCCGCCACGCTCTCCTGACCTAAATCCAATAGAACACCTCTGGGATATCAGGTTTCGGTCCATTTAATGCCGCCAGGTTGCACGTCAGACTGTCCAGGAGCTCAGTGATGCCCTGGTCCAAATCTGGGAGGAAATACCCCAGGACACCATCCGTTGTCTCATTAGGAACATGTATGCATGTCTGACAACATCAGGACATGCACGTGAGGACCATACATAATACTGAGTACCATCAAAGCGCTGAGCAAACTATTGGTGCTATATAAATCCTGTATTATAATAATAATCATTTTGTGTTGCTGCTTTGAAATGTCAGCAAAATGGACTAGCCTGCTGCATCATTTTTTCACTTTGATTTTCGGGGTGTCTTTGTATTCAGTCCTCTGTAAGTTGATAATTTTCATTTCCATCAAACGATGGGACATCCTTACATTCGTAACACATTACCCAGTCCATATCAGTATAGATACCCAGCATGAGATTTTTCCCCATTGAGATCTAATGTGTTTTCAAAGCGTTCCTTAATTTTTTTTTAAGCCGCATATATACTGTAGATCCACCTGTTATCTGTTCTCTAGTGGTGCACCAAAATTAAAATTCTGGAACAAAACTGAAAATTCAGTATGCATTTGGCAGAAAACCGAAATGGACAGTGTAAAAAAAAAAATGTTTTAAGTATATAATTGTATTATATTTGACTTTGGAATTAATATGAATTTAAATCAATATGATTTTAATACAATCCAGTAATGTAAAAAAAAAAAACTTTTATTAAAAATAACACACAAAAATGGGACAGAAAATAAAATGAAATATATATAAAATTAAAAAAACTTAAATAGAGGCATTCTTCTATTGAAGTCAGTGGGAGGCAGTGTGTGAACCCTGCGCCAGGACACAATTTTGAGTCGCCATGGCAACCTGGTGCCTGGCATTTGTCGAGCCCTGATATAAAGCATAGGAAGATCAGACTTTTGTTGTATATCAGAGATAAAAAAGACAGAGCACCTTGTCCTCAGTATAAATAAAAAAAAAAAAAGCCTGTAAAATCCAAAACACATGTTAAAGTTTGGCCAGATACATGGGGGAATTGCAGGTAACCGTCAGTGGCTGAATGTGTCCTTGGATATCCCAGTGATCTCAGTGGCTGCTTTGATTGTAAGGTGTTTCATGCGTCCCAGTGCCGGCAGTCTAATTGTTGTCTATTGGGATGCAGTGGCTGCATGGACATTGCTGCTCCCAATATGACATCTGTGTGTCCCCAAACTCACCTAGAGTGCATTCAGGGCCATTCACCCCGATCTGCATGGATGTCAGATTGGGAGCAACGGCTGTGTCCAGGCAGCCACTGCATCCCAATAGACAACAATGAGCCTATCTGCACAGGGATGTATGCAACACCTGTGCATCCCTTTTCCTGCAAAACATGGCCCCGTACATCATAGATTGCAATATGAACCATCCCTATTAAATATACAGGTATCAATCTTTATTTACAGGCTTTTTTGTCTTTAGATAACAGCCAGGAAAACAGACAGGAGGTTTCAGATGAAAACAATGGAATCGGTAAGCCGGAAGCCAATCAGGAAGTCGAGGCCAATGGTGAGGGTAACAAAGTTCTGGAAAAAGCCCTAAAAGTGGCGAGGCGTCTGGGAAGTCGTGAAGACCCGGTAGTCCAGGGTCCATCAGATGTGAGTGGACCTCTCCTGGATATGTTCATTGCAGTCATCGAGAGTTGCGTACCCATCCGAAGTCAGCAGATTGGGGAGCCAGAGTTCAGCCATGAACAGAAGATGTCCATGCTGCTCGACCTGTACAATTCCAAACCTTTGATTTTTCTGGAGCGATTCCGAAAACTTCTTAAAGAGGAACATTTGCAGTGCTTCAGCCACCTGTCTGGTGATTACTCTGCTGATTTTTACTTCAAAGAGATTCGCAAAGCTTCTCTGAAGAAAGTCCATCACACAAGAGTCCGCAACAAAAGATATGCTGCTCTGCAACTGCTTATTTCAGGTAAAGCTTTGGATCCATCTCCTTATGGGACCAGCGTTCATTAGTACTGCTGTAAGGGGGTGTGATGTGGCTGCAGGGGAGGGTAAGATGTAGCTGCACAGGGTGGGAGTTGTGGCAGGGTTGATGTTGTTACACATGGTGAAGATTTCATATGGCTTTAGTTGGCTGGAGGGCAGCAAATTATGGGGACATAGAGACGGGGATGGCAGACTTGTATCTGGCCATGGAGAGAGAAGGACACTCTGGGGAGAGCAGTGTTTGGGTGTACAGAGTACTAATAGTGTCTGGTGGCACACAGCAATCAAGACTGTGTAAATTCCCTGTTTCTAATATATTGTCCATTATTATTGTAATAATAATTCTGGTGCAATCACCTGACTACTCCTTTTTTTTTTTTTTTTTTTTTTTTTTTTTTTTTTCAACCTTAAAGTGGTTGTAAAGGCTGGAGGAAAAACCTTCAGTGTGCAGCTTCCCCCTCAGCCCACCCTCATGCTTACCTGAGCCCGATCCCAATCCAGTGATGTGCACGAGAGCAGAAGCTCTCCCGGGTCTCTGCCTCCTCATTTGCTCCCACTGCTGTTAATCACATGAGGAGGAATGTGGGGTGGAGTTGAGCTGTGCTCTGTGTCTCATAGATACACAGAGGTGCCTCCAGAGCAAGCAGCTTACTCTGGGGGCGCTCAGCAAGGGGGAAGGCCGTGGTGTGCTGGCGGGGGACCCGAGAAGAGAAGGATTGGGGCTGATCTGTGCAAAACCATTACACAGAGCAGGTAAGTATACTATGTTATTTTATTTAAAATAAAAAAAAAATCTTGACCTTTAAAATCACTTTAAGGCTGAATTTTGCATGCACCGTAAGGGTTATAAACAGTTTAAGACATGAGCAACAAAACACGCCCGCTCGGGCTATCAATTGCAGTGCTCTAACACCAACAGAGCAAAAGGTGCGCCCACGCAGTGGCTATCAATGGCATATAAATGACAAAAACATTAGTATAACACCGACAGTAACTCAAACTAAAGGCAATGAAAAGCACTTTTATTTACCGGATCCTTCACTTCCCTGGCAAATGGTGCTCCCCTCTGCTCCAGCAATGCACTGTCCCTAGGCGTCCTCACATCCAATGCACTGTTCGGTCCCTTTTACATGGGTGATCCAATCAGGTCTGCCTGTCAGTCTTTCAGGTGGACCTGATCGGATGGTCCATGTATCCCTGTAGACTAGCGGATGAATACGGACTTGCGTCCATTTACACACGTCTACCACCAATCCGATCCGCTAAAAAAAAAAAATGGAAGGGCATTCATCCTCCTCCATCTACGTGGATTGGATCAGGGGGCTGTCAGATGTAAATTGACAGTCTGTTTTCACCCTGCCACCCATAGAGTGGGCCCTGTTCGTTTATACAGAGAGAACACGAACCTGTCATCCACCCGCTCTGCTCAGCAGGGGATCAGCAGACCGATCCCCCCGCTGATGAAATCTGATTCCGCCCAGTGTGCAAGGGGCTTTATAGGCACTGTATCGGTGTTGATGATGTCAGAGGACCTTAGACCTTCCGAGTGTAGGAGAGAAGAGGCTGTGGGGACTGGTCTAGTACCATAAAGGAGCTTGCAGGAGCAAAGAATCAGCTAGGTAAAACTGCTTATCATGGTCCCCTAGGAATAACGAGCAGTTAACGCCTACAGTGCAGGCACAGCCGCACTGCAAGTACAGACTTTTTATTTTCCCAAAATTAATTTTAACCGCTTGCCGCCCTGCCACTGTATATATACGTGTGCAGGGCGGCACTCAGGCGCAAAACCACGTTTTTAAAACTGGTTCCGCGCTCCCGATGTTTTCGCCGGCAGGGGGCGCGCGCACTCCCGCCGACCCGCGGGTGACACCATTCGATCCCGGAGGGATCAATCATTAGATTTCAGCCAGTGATGTCCGGCTGAAATCAGATGATCGGTCCCTGTCCTATCCTGTCCTGTGTTGACATTTACACAGGACAGGATATGATGTCATTCTTCTCTGCCTGGACACATTCCGTTCCAGACAGAGACAAAGACATACAAAAAGTGAGTACAAAGTACTACACTAACAGAACACTCTAGGACACATTTAACCCCCTGATCGCCCCCCCAGTTAACCCCTTCACTGCCCTGTCACCAGTGTCACTGATCAGTGAACCGATTTTTTTACTGATCACTGTATCAGTGTCGCTGGCGACTTCCGATAGTGTTAGCGCCCCTCCCAGATAGCGCCAGATTTCCCGCTAATACACCAGTAATCCCGTCTAACCCCTTGATTGCCCCCCCCCCCAGTTAACCCCTTCACTGCCCTGTCACCAGTGTCATTGATTACAGTGAACAGATTTTTACTGATCACTGTATTAGTGTCACTGGTGACTTCCGATAGTGTTGGCGCCCCTCCCATATAGCGCCAGTTTGCCCGCTAATGCACGGGATTTTTTTTTTTACCAAAAACATGTAGCAGAATACATTTTGGCTTAAATTTATGACTAACTTTGAGTTTACGATATATTTTTTATAGCTGAAAGTAGAAAATAGTTTTTTTTTTTTTCAAATTTTTTTTTTTTTTTTTTTTTTTTTAAGCGCAAAAAATAAAAAGCGCACAGGTGATAAAATACCACCAAAAGAAAGCTCTATTTGTGTGAAAAAAAGGACGTAAATTTTGTTTGGGTGCAGCATTGCATGACCGCGCAATTATCATTTGAATTAGCGCAGTGCTGTATAGCAAAAAAAGGCATAAATTAAAGTATCTATACCATAGTTTGTAGACGCTATAACTTTCACACAAAGCAATCGATATACACTTATTGGGATTTTTTTTTTTACCAAAAACATGTAGCAGAATACATTTTGGCTTAAATTTATGACTAACTTTGAGTTTATGATATATTTTTTATAGCTGAAAGTAGAAAATATTGTTTTTTTTCAAAATTTTTGTTTTTTTTTTGTTTATAGCGCAAAAATAAAAAGTGCACAGGTGATAAAATACCATCAAAAGAAAGCTCTATTTGTGTGAAAAAAAGGGCGTAAATTTTGTTTGGGTACAGCATTGCATGACCCCCGCGCAATTATTATTTGAATTAGTGCAGCGCCAAACAGCAAAAAAAGGCCTGGTCATTAAGGGGGGTAAATCCTCAGGAGCTCAAGTGGTTAAAGTAGATGTAAACCCTAAATTTAGTGTCTTATTTTTTTTATTTTTTTTGCTAAAGCGCTGTATGTCAAATACCATTGCCATTTTATTCTGATTATAATATTTCACCTTTTTTATTCTTTGTTGCATCTCAGCGCTGCCAGTCTCCTGCACCTTGTTTGCAGTCCCTTGCAGTATGCATGCACTGGAGCAATAGCTGCCTCTATTATCTTAGGGTGGTGAAATGATAGAGATAAAGTGGGAGCGCAATTGGGAGACAAGGACAGAGTGCTGTTGCCTTGTGACGGGAAGTACATAACCAAGGAAATACATATTGCAAATCTTCTTAGCTGCTCTGCTACGAGGCTCCGCCGACCTAAGGATGAAGGCTCCAACACGGTCTGTGATCTACCAACAAAAGCAGCAGAAAAAACAAGGATGGAGCTGCTCAACCTCCAGAGGTCCAGAATGCAGAAACTCTATGACTAGGCCCCTGATGGAGTGAACCGCTTAGTAGGAGCGGGTGGATTTTCCATGTATCATATGATCGTAATAAATATATTCTGGACCTCTGGAAGTTCACTGGCTCCATCCTTGTTTGTTCTGCTACATAAAAAAGAATGTTCAAGGCAGAATCAGCAGAAAATATTTTATTGAAAGCTCCATGAAAATAACTTTTGAAGTTACATGGCAAAGTTTTATCTTCGTGATTGAGTTTACATAGACTTAAAGAGTAACTCTTCTTTTGTTGAGAAAAAAAAACAATTCCCTCTGGGCGATTGTACATTGCAAGGATTTTAACTTTATTGCAGGTTCCTAGCTTTTGTTAATTCTAAAGAAAGAGCTGTTGTGTCCATGTGGAAAGTGAATCTGTGTGGGAGTGGTTTCATAATTGTCAATCAGGTGCTGCACTTGCGGGGCTCTAATGAGGAAAATTGCAGGGTCTGCATCCCTTTAGACTTCCCTTTGGGAGTATCTCACCAAAAATGAAATTTTTGTTGCAGGGGATGCCCAAAATCTGACTTGAATCTTAGGAAAATCAGTGAGCCAATCACACAAGCAGGAAATTATATTTCTGGGGGCGTTCTGTACACATTCTGTATACAGAACAGCTCCAGGAAGCCATATTGCATTGCATTTTACTAAAAATTATAGCGCTGCAGATTGAAAAGGATTGGTAATTGTTAATAACATTCAGTTACAATATTACTTGTCGCAATTGTATGTGCTATATTTTGTTTTTTTTTTGCTATTTTCCCATGACAGTGGAGTTGTCCTTTAAAACTGGGAAGAATGTGAGATCCCAGATGTGATATTTTTTTCTTGTTCCCCTTATAGCTGGCGAGTATTTCAGTGATGAGGAAATGCGACAACGTGACCCTCTAATGTATGAACACTATGTGGGCCAATACCAGAGCGAAGAGGAGATCATGTCACAGAATAGTCGGGATTTGTCTCAGGCCAACAGCCTGTCTGATGTTTTTCTCAACTCCTGCCAGGAACAGATCATACAGAGGAAGCTGGAGGTGCAACGTGAAATGGAGGAGAACTGCGAGGAGGAGGAGGAAGACAGCACAGAGGAGGAAGGTTGGTTCCCTCGTGTAGTAATGTACAGTATGTGAAACAAGACTAGGAAGGAATCATTTTTTTTTCAGGAAAGTAAAATTGACATATTTGATGCTTCAAAAGCCTGTACAAGGAACTTCTTTTTTTTTTTTTTTTTTTTTTTTTTAAGGTAGAGGCCTATATTCAAATGTTTAAAAAATTTATTTTCACTTTTTTGCAGAGATAGACAAATAGTAAAAGAAAAATTTTTTAGGTTTTAGATCAAATGCTGCTCCAGGCTTACTGGTCTGGTCACATGTGAAAGCCTAGGCATTTGGTCATGTGATTTAAGCTGAAGGAGAGGATCATCCAGTCTGTATTCTGATTTTCTCTCTTCACAGAGATCATGTGATCAGCCTTCAGACATGACCAGCACTGCAAGGAGCCAAAAGAATCATTTCCCCAAACGTTCTGCAACCCCTTTTGTTACTGTTCATCCATCCCAACATAAATCTTAACATATTTTTTACTTTTGGGTATAGGTCCTTGGGACTTTAAAAGAGAAGCTGGGGATTCTAAAAAAAAAAAAAAAAAACTTTTATTTTTATACTTGCCCAGGTGGATGCAGCATTAGTCTGATGCTGCATCTGTCTCCCCCACTTCTAAGACCGAGAACTGAACAATCAAAACAGTTCTCAGTCTTCAGTGAGCAGAGAGCCGGTAACAGTCAGTCACCGGTTCTCTGCTCTTCCCATCCAGCACTCTTTGAAGTGCTGGGCTGTGGAGGGGTAGGGGTGGCTGGCTCAGCTTTGCAGTAGCTTGCTGAAAGGCTGAGCCAACAGCCGGTCTAGGCATCTGGGTGGATCCTTAAATTAATGTGTGGATCTCTTTAGAGCCTGGACCAGCTGATTGATGCCAGCCGGTTCGCTTTAGTTGCTGTCTGCTTCATCCTGCACTTTCCTGTGAAAATTTGGCCCTACTTCTTTAACTGTTTGCCAACTGCATCTTAGATGTGCGGCAGCAAGGTGGCTTTTCTGCACTGGATCACATACCTAGTATGCGATCCAGTTTTTCTGGGTAGGGACGCGCGCGCGCGTGCTGTGACACAGCACAAGCCGATCAATGTGTCCTGGCCAATGATTGATGGCCGGGAACCCCTAATTGGCGAGGAGGAATACGGGGCAGAGCTTTCAATGTACACAATACAGAGTTCTGCCCTGTCAGTGGGATGTGCTGATTTTTGTTTCTTTGCAGGGGATAAAAACTGGCTCATCCTCCTATTAAAAGCACCTCACTGTACACATACAAAGCATTGCTAGGCATACACTTAACTCTGATAGCCCCTAGATGTTAACCCCTTCTCAACCAGTGTTATTAGTACAGTGTCAGTGTATATTATTAGCACTGATTACTGTATTAGTGTCACTGGTTCCTACAAAGTGTCCATGTCATATTGGCCGCTGTACTATTACAGCTCCGCTATAAGTCACTTATCACCGCCATACTACCATTCCAGTATATTTCCCATAGATTGTAAACACTATAACTTTTGCGTAAACCAATCAATATACACTTACTGGGATTTTTCTTTTTACCAAAAATATATAGTAGAATACATTTTGGCCTAAATTTATGAAAAATTAAAAAAAAAATTATTGGATATGTTTTATAGCAGAAAGTGTATTTTTTATTTTTTATTTTTTTTTTTCAAAATTTTTGTTCTTTTTTTTCATTTATTGCATAAAAAATAAACCCCAGTGGCGATCAAATGCCACTAAACAAAAGCTCTATTTGTGTGAAAAAATTATATAACTTAAAGTGGGTACAGTGTTTGCATGACTGTGCAGTTGTCCGCTAAAAATAACGCAGTGTGGTAAAGCAAAAAATGGCCTGGTCAGGAAGGGGGTAAAGTCTTCAGAAGGGCAAGTGGGTAAAGAGAATCTGTCTTGTTGCCAATTCAGATTTCTCTTGAGAACCCCCAATCACTGACTGTTACTCAAATTCGCTGCATTCATTTATCATACAGTTCTATGTCAGTACTTCTTTGTATGGGGTAGAATGTGAGAGTTTCTTCTCATACCCAGGGTAGAGTGCTCAGATCTGATCTGCCATCCCTGAACAGTGTCAGGAACGTGAGAGGAGAAGGTCATTAACCCTGTGTAAATTCCAACACATACTGAAACAATGAGTACACAGGGTTCAGACCTACAGCTCTGACGGGGTCTAACATGCATTTCTAAGTTTCATTTTTTCTTTTTTTTTCTTTTTTTTGTATATTTGTGATCTTCAAGTTGCAGTGTCTTCTTCTCTACCACTAGACTCTGAGCTGCAGACAGATGAGGAGCGCATTGTGGACAGTGAGGAGAAGGCTCTAATGCATGAAGAATTCCTCAGCCGCATGTACCAGAGCTTTTTGGATGGAAAGGATAAACATTTTGACTACAGGTAATGTGCAACAACAGAATGTGTAGTTCACCCCAAATCAGTATTATTAGTGGAGGTGGAGGTGGAGTTTGGTGGCCCAAGACAGTCCCTGGCTTCCTATATCCTACCAACAGTGAGAAATACCTGCCATAATTCCAGATTGTGTCCACCTTGGAGTTTCAGATGTTCCTTTCTGCTTTTGTGTTTTCCCAGCTCCTCTTGTAGCATTTTCCATAAAATAAATTAAAAAAGAACAGGCAGGGTGGGGTGGGAGCTGAGAAATTCAAGGAGAACCTGAAATGTAGATGCTGTGCCCAAAAAGGTTGAAGGCAAAAGACTAGGCACCAGGGTTGCTTGTAGACTGTTGCTGATCTTGTCCCCATTCACTGACTTACCATGCCTTGTTCTGCACCATGTCTCTATGCGGAGGTGACCTTCTTGGTAGAGGCACAGCCCTTCACTCATTAATGGCAGAGTGGCACCCCTAATGATGACTGCTTTATTGACTGATGTAGGAATCGGCAGCAGAAGAGGTAGAGTAAGCACAGATTTTCAAAATATATAAAGCAAGAGGAGGGTGATACTTACAGTGCAGGTTCTTAGGTGCAACTACTTGTCCAGCAAGCAAATCAGTGGGCTGCACAGGCTTGACATCCCCAAATCTCACTCCAATGCTGGTGAGACCTAGCAGTCAGAGGTAGCAGTGCCTCAGGTGAGCTCACACTGAAGATACACAGCACCAGGCACAGTAAGTGCACTGCTGTGTACAGGAGGAATTCCACAAAAGCACATTTTCAGGGTACTGCATAGGCACAGTTAACTTTTACAGATGTTAATAACAGAGAATATTCACTTTTTCAGATCGGGTCTAATTTAAGTGCAGGTATTTCACTAGCAGAGTCCGCGGGAGATATAAGAAATGTTCTATTTGGCTGGACTGAACCTATAAGAACATACATAAATATCTGCACTTGGTTTTACACCCTTTTTCCCTGTCAATTTTTGGTGTGGTCAGTGCAGCTTGAAGGCAGGTTTGAACCAGGCACTTTAGAACGCTAGACCGACAACTGAATACTGTGGGGGAGATTTTCTAAAACTGGTACACACAGAGGTGTTGTTTTATGAAACTGAGATCAGCGGCGATCCTGAGGATTGCTGCTGATCTCATATCATTAGTGATTTGGGAAACAAAGATGATCATCTCAGCACACAGACTGCCAATGTATGAAGGAGCGATGCCAGCCCTTCACTCTGTGTTCTCCCTCCAGATTCTCCAGCCCAAAGGTGGAGAATCAGAGGAACCGCAAACGAAGCAGCGATATTATACCTCTGCTTAGTAAATTGTGTTTGACTGATCTCTTACTGTAATCTCGCGTCATTACAGTAACAGTAGCCATTTTCTAGCATACAAAGCGTTTGTAGATCATTTCTCTCCTCATTAGAAGAAGAGATCTACACCGCTTCATAAAAAGGCATTCGGAGGAGAACTCTCTCTCCTCTGAGAACTGAGCAGCGGTCATTTACCGCTCATGATAAAAGGACACCAGAATCTGGTGCAGCTGTCTATGGTGGCCAGTCAGCTCATACCTTCAGCTTGTTCAATCAAGGTTTGACAAAACCTGGAAGCTAATTAGTTACTATACAGAGCTGCACCAGATTTTGTGTGTATCCCTCATCCTTCTGAATGTAACTTCTTCACGGCCATGTTATAGCCAAAAGACCGCTAAAACCATTGTTGGCCTGGAGCACGCACATGATTATCAGCGCAGCCTAATCAGCACACATCACTGAAAAAAACCCACTGGTGATTAAATATCACCAAAAGAAAGCTCTCTCTGTATATAAAGAAAAAAAGATAATTTAGTTTGGGTACAGTGTTGCATGACCTTGCTATTGTCATTCAAAGTGAGACAGTGCTGAAAGCTGAAAATTGGCCTGGGACAAAAGGGGGTGAAAGTGCCCTGTATTGAAGTGGTTTAAAAGGACTTCCTCCTGCTTCATTTTTTTTTTCTTTTTCTCTCAAAATATTTTTTTTGTCTGCAAAAATGTCTCTTGCTGAGACTTTGCATTAATGTTTTGTATTGCTTTTGTTTTTCCTGATATTATTAAGAAATAGGTATATTAGGTCATATAGAGCAGAACAGGATGCAGCATCAAACGTCATGCTGCCTCAATCTGGGGGCTTCCCTGGAATGTCGTGTTTTTCCCTGTTGTGTAATTGATCACATTTCAATGTATGCCTTCCTCTGCTCACCATAGATTTCAGAATAGTCATGTAGCACGTTTGTAATCATAAATGCCCAGCGCCAAAGAAATGTGTATACACAATTAATAAATTAAATACTGCTGTACACAAGTGCAATAAACACCAAAAAATGTAAAATCATTATAAACAGCGCAAATAATAAAAATTGAACAAATAGTCCCACTCCAAAAATCGTGTGAAAAGTGTTACAAAAATATTAAAAAAAAAATATATATAATTAAAAAACAAAAAAAGTCTTTGTTCAAAAAAAGTTTTTGTGCTTCCACGATGAACCAGTGCTCCAACCAACATATACCGTACTCACCAGATATTGGTGAAGTAAACGCCTTTTAGGTATTTTAGGGATCCTAGCCCCTTCTTTTCATCCTCCAGGAATCTATTTATTTTTATTTGTTTTTATTATTTGCACTGTTTTTGATGATTTTACATGTAGCACATTTGCACTGTTTAAAACCAACATTGTAAAACAAAATCCCATTTAATAACCCAGGCTGTGTCTGCTTCTTTAACAGTGAAGTCGATGACAATCCCGAATTTGATAACTTGGATATTGTCACAAGAGATGAAGAGGAACGGTATTTTGATGATGACGATGATGAAGGTGTGGAAGAAATGGATGCAGAGGATGAGCAAAGCGAGGAAGAACAGAGTATGGGTAGCAAGGTGTGATTGCTTTACCTAGTAGTAGTTAGTCACTTCCAACCTGACTTGTTCTGAGATGTTTAAGATGCTTTGCTGCTGTTCCAAGCAGATTTCTCAGCTCTAATGCTTGTTGGGAATATACAGGGGTACGTTCCTGACCCTACAAGTGAGGAAACTAGCTGGATGAAACATCATCAACACAGTGCAGTTCAATGTGACTAACTACTATGGAGTATACCATGACCTGGATAAATGAGAACTTGCACAGACAAGTAACTTACCTTAGACAGCTTCATAAGCTGCTGACAACATGGCGTGGATATTTGTGAGGATCTGACAACATCACCCAGCTGCCACCCAGAACAGTCCCACCTTTCGTGTCAAAAGCATGTGATGGCCACAGGAGGGCAGCAGATTTCAAGCTGTGATTTATTTCTGTATTTTTGGTTTCATTGGCAGACCTCCCTCCATAACCTCTCCCATGTTTCACACTCAGACCGCTGCAGACCAGCCGCAGTCCTCACAAAGATATTTAGGCAACTTACAGGCAAACTGGGGCTTGTTGCACATAAAGCAGACTGTAACGGTGACCAATGGAAATGTTGCGTTGTTCATGAACTTTTTCAGAGTTGAAAAAGAGAGGGTTGTTGGCCATCCAGCAATCACCGAAAATGTTGGATGAACTTTGAAATGTTTGCTGTTTTTTATTTTTGTAAATCTGCCCTCTGGGACAAAATTTCTGCTTAAATATTTAAAAGATTAAAGTTTAGTTTTATGAGTATTTTTTTTCCTGCACTAAGGGCTGAAATAGTCCAAGTCCCACCAACAATTTGTGGTCTACGGCTAGCCATGCAGGTAAGTAAGTTGAATCGTTGAGGCATTAAAGGGTAACTCCACTTTCCTGCTTGTGTAATTGGCTCACAGAATTTCCCAGTGGTCTTCACAAAGATCCAAGTCAGATTGTTGGTATCCCCTGCAACACAAATGTCATTTTTGGTGAGATACTCCCAAAGGGAAATCATATCTAAAGGGATGCAGACCCTGCCACTTTTCTCATTAAGAGTCCTGCAGGTGCAGCAGCTGCTTGATGATTATTAAACTGCTCCCATTTGATTCTCTCTGCACATGGACACAGAAGAAGCAAACCACTGTTACTTCAGAATAACAAAAGGTAGGAATCTTCAATAACGTTTCTTAAAATCCTTGCAATGTATATAGATCACCCAGAGGGAATGTTTTATTCTCAACAACAGTGGAGTTACTCTTTAAAGTTGATGTCAATCCTAACTGAATGACAGTAAGGCGGTTATTTACTTAAAACTGGAGAGTGCAAAATCTTGTCAGTTCTGCATAATAGTCAATCGGCTTCCAGGCTTTATTGTGAAAGCTTAAAGCGCAACTAAAGGCAAAACATCTTTTTTTTTTTTTTTCTTTTTCTTTTCAAGCTTTGGATAGAGTGGCGATGGATTAGAATGCCTGTCAGTTTCTATAGGTGTCTGTGTCCCTGTTAGGGAGATTCACCCCCTCTATTTTTCCTGTCTACCATTTTCATTGAAAGTAAAAGAAAATCCCACATTTTGGGTTGTCACCAGAAAAGTAATAGAAGGGAAATCTTCCACTGGGGACACTAGTTCTGGTGACAGGCGGGTCCCCAAGGAATTCCTTTAATTTGCTGGGATTTCTTCCCAATTCCTGTATGGCTATGGTACAGGAAGTGATGGGAAATCTCCCCAATGGGACACAGATGTTGAAAAAAATCCTACCAAGTTTATAGCCCTCCCTTGCTCTATCCAAAATGAAAAAAAAAGTTTTGCTTATAGTTAAACTATAATTGAACAAGCTGATGTTAAAAGCTAATTGGATACCATGCATAGCTGCACTAGATTCTGAGGCTGCAATTTTAGTAAGTCTCCCTCTTAGTTTTCTGTTGCACTTTGTAAACAAGTGGCATTTTCTTGTTTCACAAAAGGTTTATTGGGGCTTTTTAAGGTTTTATAGTGTACATGAGCACACCAAAATAGTGCAAAAAGACAAAGAGGTGAAGTTGCTAGAAAAATGTCAAATTAGTACAATAGGGACCATAAGGAAAGGAAAGTTACCTAAAACTACAGGACCCCTAAGACTCCACAGCCAAATCAGGGTTAGGGGTAATACATAGACTTTCTTAGCCCCAGTTCACATATATACGGCCGTGTTTTTGCACGGGCATGAGAGTCCATTCATTTGAATTGACTCCCGTGCCCCGTTACACGCAGGGAAGAAGCCCCTGCACTTCTTCTGAAAACGCAGCCCACTCGGGAACCTCGGTTTCCAGTGCGGGCGGCGTGCCATCAGAACTAATAGCACCCGCCCCGCGGGTCCGCATTTCTCTGTGTGGGTGGTGCGGCTGCGCAGATTTTTGTGTGGATCCGCAGCGGCACCACCCGCACAGATATGAACCTAGCCTAAGAGGGAGGTTTCTGATGGTGACAGCAGTAGACCATGCCTGTATAATACATGTTGAAATGACCACATATAGTTTCCATCAGAAGCCGTGTGACAGGATGACAATGGAGGAACACATCTGGAAGACATCCATAACATGATGTCATCCTATAACAAGACATGCCAGAACAAGAACCTTCATCGCACGATCACCAAGTATTGTTTTAATAAAAATTGAAAGGATGCTGCTGCACTTATGAAAAAAACGTGTATAAGAAAAACAGTATAATGCAGCAGTCCTACTTGTGAACTAATATACACAAAGTTACAAAATATACCATATAGACCACGCATGAAAGGGGCATGACACAGAACAGTTAATTATATTGATAATCATAGTAACCAATACACATCTATAAAAAATACTTTTGGTGCAGTCCCAGTACGTGCAAATAAAGTGCAAACGTGCTGGATCCTTGATAATAAACTCCGTATTAAGGTGTCAGGTGCTTCACTGTGCTCAGACTGGTGCCCCACATGGATTTACATTCACCATCATTCCATGACCACCTATCTCTAGGTAGGTCACTAGTGCTTTAATTTGGAGTAGCCCAAAATGCCATGTGTTGGCACTCTTTCCCATTGTTCCACGACGTTGCTACTGGTAACCAGTATGTTATCAGTATGTAAAAAAAAAATTGTGAAAATAGTTTTTTTAATGTTTTCATTTTCAAAAAAATATGACAAAAAAATTACAACTTCAAAAAACTCACTATGCCTCTCCTGAAATATGTCGGAGTGGGGATATCTGTACTGTTCTGACATTTTTGGGCCTCAAGAAATTAGATTGGTTGTCAGTACTTCAGGATTGATCAATTCTCAGATATATCCCATAGTTTGTGAACTCTATAACTTTCCTACAGACTAAACAATAAATACTGATTTGGGTTATTTTCACCAAAGACATGTAGCAGAATACATCTTGGCCTAAATTTATGAAGAACAATTATTTATTTGCAAACTTTTATAGCAGAAACAAAGAAAAACGTGGGTTTTTTTTTTCAAAATTTTCTGTCTTTTTTTGTTAATTTAGCAAAAAATAAAATCCCCAGCGGTGATTAAATACCACCAAAAGAAAGCTCTAGTTGTGTGAACAAAATTATAAAATTTTAGTTTGGGTACAATGTTCCATGACCGTGCAATTGTCATTCAAAGTGTGAGAGCGCTGAAACCTGAAAATTGGCCTGGGCAGGAAGGGGGTAAAAGTGCCCGGTATAGACATGGTTAAACATGTCCAGTAAAAAAAATCAAATTTCATCATAAATTTAGGCCAAAATGTATTCTGCTCCATGTCATTGCTAAAACAAAATCCCAATATGTGTAAATTAATTGGTTTACGTGAAAGTTATAGCGTTTACAAATGGCGGGATATATACTGGGATTTTTTTTTTATTAGTAATGGCGGTGATCAGCGACTTATACTGCGGTGGGCAATCTGACACTGCGGGGGAACTGACTTTCTGTCACATCCCCACTGACACCAATACAGTGATCAGTGCCAAAGAAAAAAGCAATGACACTGTACTAATGGCACTGGGCAGGAAGGGGTTAACATGAGGGGCAATCAAAGTGTTAACTGTCTGCTGGAGTGTTTTACTAGGGGGCGGTGTGTTGGTGCTTCACTGTAAGCACACATCCAGAGCAGTGTGCACGAGTCGACGGAGGAGGAGAAGACGCGGCTTCGAATTTCCCTACCTGGAAATACAAAATCACGTATATATACATGTGATTTTGCGCAACCCTGCCGCCCTGTAGCAGTATATCTGCTATAGGGCAGTGGGGATGCGGTTAAAGTAAAAAACCTTTAGGCTTTGGAACCACTTTAAGTGAACTTGTCTACGTACAATGCATTACATATTATTAGTGGGGTTTTTTTGCAATGGGGAGGGGGATGGTGGTGTCCTCTTTAACTCTTTCCTGTGAAGGATGGAAGTTCAGGGAAGTGGCGTTGAGACAGCAGGAGCCAATACCATTGAAAGTTGTACACTGCAAGTGCTGGGGTAAGAATTGTAACAAATAGTTTACTGGGCAATGTTTTCTTGTGCTCAATGTGTTAACCCCTTGACGCAGATTGCACGCAAATATGCGGCGTCTGGGCCTTGACAGCGAGCGGCCGGATATTTGCGTGCAATTATAAATTACATATGTGCTGTGAGCGCGCGCCCTGCGCGCTTCCAGCATATATGTTCACGGCTCCTGGAAAGGTCCCGAGCTTCCCTTTCGATCGGGATCCTTTCCAATCATGTGACAGTGAATCACAGTGGTCACATGACCCTAAAACCCCGCCAATCAGTGATCACATGAATAGTAGCAAGATGTCACTTCTGACATCATTGTTTACTACGTGTGAAATCTGTGAATGATCACAGAGGTCACATGGTACAAGGCTATTCACAACAGTCTTGTACCATGTGACAAGCTATGACCAATCACAGCTCTCACAGTATTTCTCAATGGCTGCAAGAATGCAGTCAGAGAGAAGGAGAAATGATTGCTTTTACAGCCTTTATGGGTGTCAAAGCAATTGGTGTAAAGAAAAAAAA